TTGCCACGGCCGCTCGCCACGGCCCCGCTCGCCACGGCGCCGCCCCAGCGAGCCGGCGCCGGCGCCCCACGACAAGTGGCCCTCCCCCATGTCGGCGCCGCCGGCGCCGAGCGCGACGGCGAGCACGACCCGGGGGCTAGGGGCGCCTCCAGCTCGCTCTAGGAAGCTAGCTGACTCACGGAGCTGGAAAACAAAATTAATATATACATATATATGTGTTACAATTTTATTTTCAACTCATTTCCACACTAACGTAGTTGCTGAAAGTATTTTTAATCATGAAACGCTCGTCCGACGCCCGTTCGCCCCCCATGGCAAAATCCGCCCGTCTGACTGGGGCTGGGCCGCCTGCTGGTGTGCCGCCTGCTGGGCTGCTGTCTGATGCGATGAGTGGCTCTGACCCGGGTGCTGGCCCTGGCACGCCTCCTGGTGTGCTGCCTGCTAGACTGCTGCCTGCTGGGCTGCTGCCTGCTGGGCTGCTGCCTGCTGGGACTGCTGGTGGCCTCTCTGGCTCCTCTAACTCTTCTGGCTCCTCTAGATCTTCTGGCTCTGACCCGGGTGCTGGCCCTGGCACGTCTCCTGGTGTGCTGCCTGCTGGGCTGCTGCCTGCTGGGACTGCTGGTGGCCTCCCTGACTTGGGCTCTGACCTAGGTGCTGACCAGGCCGACGGCATGGACTCTGGCTTGGGCTCTGACCGCCCGGATGACGGGCTGCCTGCTGGGCCGTCTGCTGGGCTGGACGAACTGGCCTGCGAGTGGGGCACCTGTACTGAGCGATTTCATGACACCCCGGCCCTAGTCGAGCACTTGGAGCTGCACAAATTGGCCACAACGTGCTTCTGGCGAGGATGCTTTCATGTGGCGAATCGGAGACTACAGTGTTCGCCTGGGGCGCCTGGCCGGGACCAGCAACCAGGGGCTCGAGGCAACCGCCCTCGGCAGCACGGCTGGTGAGACGGACCAGCACAAGCATGCCGTTGCCATTGGAAACAGCGCGGGCAATGCAAACCAGGGTATCCAGGCCGCGGCCCTGGGGTACAGTGCCGCGCACGACAGCCAGGGCGACGGCGCCGTGGCAATTGGGCGGCAGTCCGCGTATGCGAACCAAGGTACGGAGGGCGTTGCCATTGGGTCTAGCGCCGCATACACGGCCCAGGGCTCGGACGGGATCGCAATCGGCACCAGTGCCGGCAGCAACACACAGGGCACTTACGCCATTGCGCTCGGGCGCGAGGCCGGCATGGTGACCCAGGCCACCGGCGGCATTGCGCTTGGTCGGCGGGCCGGCTATACCAGACAGGGCTACGGTGGCATTGGCATGGGCAGCTCGGCGGGCAACATGAACCAGGGCGAGTACGGCATAGCCATCGGCGACAACGCCGCCGCCTCGATGCAGGGCATCTACAGTGTGGCCGTTGGCACCGTCGCCGGGCGCACGAACCAGGGCCAGAGCGCCGTTGCGCTGGGCCGAGGTGCGGCCGAGACGACGCAGGGCGACCTCGCGACGGCTGTGGGCGCGTTCGCGGGCCAGTCGCAGCAGGGCGGCTCCGCTGTCGCTATTGGCAGCTCGGCCGGCCAGTCGCAGCAGGGCGGCTCCGCCGTGGCTATTGGACGGGATGCCGGTAAGACCGACCAGGGGGCCAATGCGGTGGCTATCGGCACCGCCGCCGGCGAGACGAGCCAGGCCGCGAGGAGTATCGTTGTCAACGCCAGTGGCGCCCCGCTGAACGCACCCGATCAGGGGTTCTACGTGTCGCCGATTCGCGCGACCGGAGCCACCCAAAACACGCTCTACTATGACGCGACTACAAAGGAGATCGTGTACGGTGCCACTATCACGTTACCGGAAAGCGGCCCCGACGTGGAGTTTGGGACCTGCGTATCGGACTACTTGAGGTGGGACGGCACTGCGTGGGTAGCGGGCGGCTCCAGTGTGGCCATAGCCTGCGGAGCGGGCGGCTCCAACCAAGGTGGAAGCGCCGTGGCCGTCGGACAGAGCGCCGGGGCGACCGCGCAGGGGTCCGGGGCCGTGGCGCTGGGCCGGGAGGCCGGGCAGACCACCCAGGGGTACAGCGCCGTTGCGCTGGGCCGGGAGGCCGGTCGGATGTTGCAAGGGATGAACGCCGTGGCACTGGGTGCAGGAGCTGGGGCAAAGTCGCAGGGGGCGGACTCGGTGGCCATCGGAGGCCTCGCGGGCGCCTCAGACCAGGCTGCGGGAAGCATCATTATCAATGCGAGCGGCAAGGCTCTGAACGCTGCCTCGAAAGGACTGTACATGGACCCTGTGCGGTACGACAACACCGGGACCAGTGTACTGTACTACAACCCTGTGCTCAAGGAGATTGTGTATGGCAACCGGGGCCCAGATATCGGGAGCGGGACGTGTGTGTCAGACTACTTGCGCTGGAACGGCACAAGCTGGGTGGCGGGCGGAAGCAGGGTGGCGCTCGCGTGCGGCGCTGGCGCTATGGGCCAGGGCGATGGTGCCGTAGCCGTCGGACAGGACGCGGGCGCCGCTGGCCAGGGGTCTGGTGGGGTCGCGCTGGGCATGGGTGCCGGTAAGACGAACCAGGGCTACAACGCAGTGGCGATCGGCAGCGCGGCCGGACAGACGAACCAGGCAGCAAGGAGTATCGTTGTCAACGCGAGCGGGGTCCCGCTCAACGCACCGGGGAGAGGGCTGTACGTGGACCCCATCCGCAATGCCGGTGCGACGGCAAACACGCTGTACTACGACCCCGACCTCAAGGAGATTGTGTATGGCGACAGTGGTCCAGACGTTGAATCTGGGACCTGTGTGTCGGACTACCTGCGCTGGAACGGCACCGCGTGGGTGTCGGGCGGCTCCAGGGTGGCGCTCGCGTGTGGGGCTGGGGCCGCAAACCAGGGCGATGGCGCCGTGGCCGTCGGACAGGACGCCGGGGCCACGGGCCAGGGTGACGAGAGCATAGCCATCGGGACCAGCGCTGGCCACAACACACAGAAAAGGTATGCCATAGCCGTCGGCCACGAAGCCGGGATGGAAAACCAGGCCATCAACGGCATTGCGATTGGACAGCGGGCGGGCCACACGAACCAGGAATATGGAAGTATAGGAATAGGCTACTTGGCTGGCAACACAGACCAAGGCGGATACGCGGTAGCCATCGGCGAGGACGCCGCAGCATCTGCACAGGGCGACTACAGCGTCGCCATTGGCAACCGCGCATGTACTACCAGTCAGGGTGCTGATTCAGTTGGCGTGGGGCGCAGTGTCGCCATGACGGCCCAGGGCGATCTCGCCACTGCGGTGGGTGCATATGCCGGACAGGACACACAAGGCGATTCTGCAGTTGCCGTGGGCGGCCAGGCCGGACAGTCTAAGCAAGGAGCCTCATCTGTAGCCGTCGGTTATGGTGCTGGCAACAAAGACCAGGGAGCCTCATCTGTGGCCGTCGGTATGGGCGCCGGAAGGACCAGTCAAGGTGCCAACGCGGTAGCTATCGGCAACTCGGCCGGCGATCTGAATCAGACGGCCGGCAGTATCGTTATCAATGCCAGCGGGGCTCCGCTCAACGCGCCCGAGGCGGGACTGTACGTGGACCCCATCCGAAATGCGGATGCCACACCGAACGTGCTGTACTACGATCCTGTACTCAAGGAGATTGTGTACGGCGAAGCTGAAGCCCCCATTACCGATGGCGGGTGTGTGTCCGACTACCTGCGATGGGACGGAACAGACTGGGTGCGTGGGGCGGACAAGGTAGCCATTGGCTGCGGCTCGGGGGCCATGGACCAGGGTGTGGACTCGGTGGCCATTGGCAAAAACGCTGGTACATCAGGACAGGGTTCATCCTCTGTTGCAATGGGACCGGGCGCCGGCGCAACAAATCAGGGGACTGGTTCGGTGGCAATTGGTTGGAATGCTGGTACAACGGACCAGTCATCTGGAACTTATAAACCCTGGGTAGCCGGTACTGGTAGTGTAGCGATTGGACAAGATGCTGCGGAGACCGCACAGGGTAAGAGCGCCGTAGCCATCGGTCCTTTGGCGGGGAACACCAATCAGGGTGGGGCGTGTATTGCAATAGGAGAGAACGCCGGGACTGTAAACCAGGGTACTTGGTCAGTATCTGTTGGATCGGCCTGTGGTGCGGATGAACAGGGTATTTACTGTGTTGCTGTCGGGATAGAGGCCGGACGACGATCTCAGGGTCCTGAATCAGTTGGAGTTGGTTACTTCGCTGGAGAGAACAATCAGGGTACCCAGTGCGTATCCATAGGAAGCCGCGCCGCAGCAGTTGATCAGGGTGACTTCTCTATTGCACTGGGGGGCTACAGTGGCTTCGAACGCCAGGGGGCAGGATGCATTGCAATCGGGATGCGTGCGGGAGTGTATGATCAGCATGCGCGCACAACGGTTCTGCATGCCAACGACACGGACGCAGACGCGAATATTCTAAACACCACACAAACAGACTCGTTCTTCGTCTCCAGCATCCGCAACGCCGCGGGCCCACACACGCTGACCTACAACCCCGCCACCAAGGAGATTTCGTACTCCACGTCCAACTCGGAAACCAAGGAAAACATTGTGCCGATCGACAACTCGTTTATTCTAGCGCTCGAGAACCTCCCCGTCTACCAGTTTAACTACAAGAACAAGAACAAGTACCTTGTGGACTCGGAGCAGCCGGCGGCGGTAAGCTTTGCAGATTGGGCGGCAGAGCACGATGAGACGGACGACGACGACAAGGGCGCGTACGAGGCGTACCTTGAGGAGCAGGCGTCAACCCATGTCCCCCCGGTGCCAGTCGAAAAGGAGGAAACGCACTTTGGCATGATGGCCGACGAAGTGCAGGCGCTCGCCCCCGAGCTCGTGTACGATGACCTGGACGGCAAGGCGCACGACATTAAATGGAACAGCATCATTTCGCTGCTAGTACTGCAGTGTCAGCTGCAGGAGAGGCGGATCGACGAGCTGGAGTACGAGTCGCAGCTGCAGCGGGCGCGCATCGATGATTTGGAATATAGGTTATCCTACGAAGATTAAGGCGCCCCCGCCCTTGGTGCGCGCGGGTTTTTAGGGTTTTGTCTGTGGGGCGATCCGAGCGGGCTGCGACTCTACGTAGTTACGCTGAGGGGAATACGTTTTATTTACATATCTCCTATACAATATTCTATATACAATTTTGTATGTACAATGTTCTATATACAATTTTCGTATAATAAGTTTTATTTACATATCTCCTATACAATATTCTATTTTTTTTTACCATGTACTATCACGCCCGGATCTTCGGGAAAATCTTCGTGGTCACACCCAGCGCCGCCAGGTTGTGCATCAGCAGCTTGAACACGTACGGGATGACTATCCGGACTGTCTGCGAGGTATCGCAAATCGCACAGCTGTCCCGTTGCGAGTTGACTATGTTGCCGCACACTGAGCAGATCACCATCGAGTACTTGTCGCTGCACTCGAGCGCCTTGTCCACTAGCATTGACGACGCCCCGTGCGCTGACAAGCAACTCAGTTCCATTTCCCCCAAGCGGAGCGCGCCGTTGCTCGACCGCCCGCTCAGCGGCTGGCGCGTAATGGCCTTGACCGACCCCACCGACCGGCTGTAGATCTTGTCCGCCACCAGGTGCTTGAGTCGGTGGTAGAAGGTCGGCGCCATGAATATCGGGGTCTCAATCTTCTGCCCCGTCGTCCCGTCGTACATGATGCACGTCCCCTCGGAACTGTACCCGGCGGCCACCAGCTCCTCCTTTGCACTCTCCACATAGTTCTCGGTCCCGTTCCAGGCCGTCTTGTTCACGCGGCTGATCCCCGCTGTCAGCGCCGCAATGCTGTGCGCGCCCTCGAGGATCTGGCTCAGCGTCATGCGCGACGGCAGCGCGCACGGGTTGAGGATGAGGTCGGGGATCACACCGTCCGCCGTAAAGGGCATGTCCTCGTGCGACACAATCAGCCCGATGGTGCTCTTCTGCGCCGATCGCGAGCAGAACTTATCGCCGACCTCCGGAACGCGCAGCTCACGGATGATAACCTTGACACAGCTGTTGCCCTTGCGCGTCTTGAACGTGATCGTGTCGTGCACGACGGGGAACCGGTCCTTGGTCGTGAAGGCCACCGACTTGTCTGTGATCACATCCCCGACCCGCGCGTAGCGGCCCACGAGCACCGTGTCGACCTGCAGCCTGGTCCCGATCCGCACTATGCCCGTGTCCGGGTCCAGCGCGCTAAAGTCCAGGTGCTTCTTGCGGTAGGTCTCTGGGGGCACCCCGATGGTCACGCTCTTCTCCTGGGCGAGCGAGATGTCGTCAGCTGCAATTGTGCGCATCGTGTATGCGTAGAACATCCCCTTGTCAATAGCGGACTTGGAGATGATGATGGCATCCTCCTGGTTGAACCCCATGTACGGTGCCACCGCTACCATCGCGTTGTTGCCCGAGACCATGCGGTCCAGGTACAACGCACTGGAAACGTCGCTGTCCACGATGGGGACCTGGCCATTGACCAGGTAGTGCGTGGTGGTCTCGCACGCGTCCTCGAGGCTGTCGTACAGCCACGAGATGGCCTGCTTGCCCATGTTGGAGTAGTAGGTGACGCGCGGCGACTGGTTGGTCTCCACGAACGGCACAATTGAGCTCATGACCCCGAGCAACGCGGCGGGGTGTATCTCCATGTACCGCGTCGCATCGGTGATATCGTTCGCCACCATGGCGACGACCTCGTTCTCGAGTTCACACACGGTCCGGTACACGATGACGCCCTCGGCCACGAGCTCGTCAAACAGGTCGTCGGTTTTTTCCCAGACCACTCTGGGCCTGTCCCGGTCCATAATGTCCTTGAGCCGCTGGCGGGCGCCAATGTCAACCAGCGGGCGGATCATGCGCCCCTCGTCGCACAGGACGCTGATGGTCCGTCGGCCGTCCATGTGCACGGACGTGTGTGGGTGGACGAGCTTGCGGGTGCGCCAATCGCGAAAGACCGCCAGGAAGGCGTCCGGGGAGTCGTCGAGCGCAAACACGGGCCGGTTGTTGAGCGTCACGACGGTGGTCCCGGCCTCTATCGCGCCCGGGGCGGTGCGCTCGGTGCCGAGGCCGTCCACCAGCCGCCGCAGCGTCATCAGGACGTGCGTAAAGTTCTGCTCCTCCGTCACCTCGGTGGTCAGCGCAAAGTTCTTGACGAGGCCGACGGTGGCGCCCTCGGGCGTCTCGCAGTGGTCAATGAAAAAGTTTCCCGAGAAGTGCACGCTGCGCACGTCCGAGTTCTTGAGCTCCTTGCTGCACGGCTGCACGACGCGCTTCATGTAGCTCAGGGCGCTCGTGTAGCTTATGCGACCCAAGATCTGCGAGACGCCCGCCCGCACGTACGTCGAGCGGATCGCGCACCAGTTGCCGGTGCTGAAGCTGTACTGGATGCACTTGGTCAGGTTGTTGTACCGACTAAGGATGTTGGCGAGCGAGATGTTTGCGTTGCTGGAGGTCGCAATGTTGCGCGCGAAGCGCTTGAACGAGATCTTGAACAGGCTCTTGAGCAGCGTGCCCGAAACTTCTATTCGTTTGTTCGCATAATGATCCCGGGAGTCGGGCGGCCGCGCGCCGATCAGGGTCTTGAACCCGCGGTTGAACATGTCCAGCACCGCGATCACGCAGTCGCCCCGCTTGATGTACTGCCCGAGGTGCGGGAACAGCTCCTCCTCGACCACGCGCTTGATCTCAATGTTGGTCCTTGCGCCCTTGGTGCAGGTCGGGTGCGGCGCGCCGGCCTCGAGGTGCAGCGTGTACCCGCGGACGAAGCGCTCCAGCAGCACGCGGTTCTTCTGGTCCACGGGCCGATCAACGTGGGCCCAGAACTCGTCGACGCCAATGTCCAGCATGCCCAGGAGCTGGTACATGTCAATGGTCTGGTTGACACACGGGACAACGTAGGTCGCACTGAGGCTAAAGTCCTTGACGCACAGCAGCATCTTGTTAAGGGCGCTGTGCGACGTAGCACTGGACATGCTGCGCATCTCCACGGTCACCGCGCCGTGCTTGAGCAGGCACAGAGGGACGTTGTAGGCCATGCGCTCCTGCGACACGAGCACGCGCTCCTTGCCCCGGATGATAAAGTAGCCCTTGAGGTCGGTCTCGGACACGGTGGGCAGCGTGGCGTAGCGCGTGTTGCACAGCTTGGAGCCGACCATGATGGGCAGTTTCATGAACGGGTAGCGGCAGACCTGGCCGACGTTGTCGCGACTGGTCTGTATGCGTATGTCCACGTACACGGTGCCGTCATAGGAGATGTCGCGCATCTTGGCCTCGCGGGGTGTCAGGTAGTGGATCTTGCGGTTGTCGTCGACAATGGTCGGGCGCTCGACGACAATGTTCGTAAATGCAAAGTCGCAGTTCTTGTTGTCGGCGCGAATGACGTTGCGGGTCTCGGTCTCAATGACGTTCCGCAGACCCTCCGACACAAACAGGTCAAACGAGCTCAGGTGGACCTCGTAGACGGACCGCGTGTGCAGATAGCTCTTGAGAATCTCCATTCTGTTTTATTTTCGAGTACAACCACACTCAGGCACAGGTGGAGTTTCGGTATTCAATTTTTTATTTTACCACGCGTGACAAAATAAAAAAGTATAAAAGGGGCGCGCACAAGCAAAAACGCTCACAACTCATGTGCACATCTACAGAACACATCAGTCTCGACATGGCCAACCTCACCAAGTTCTCGGTCTTTGGCTCGTGTGGGCGCCTGCTGCTCAGCACCAACCGGATGTCCACGGAGCTGCTGCAGAACCTGCTAAAGACCAGGCCCACGTACATTGACTGCCGCGAGTTTATGGACGACTGCCCTCCGGAGATGACGGCAACGTCTGTGGTGCCAACCGAGCCCGACAAGTGGGAGTTTGTGGTCGCGTCGAACACGGCCGAGCTGCCGCCGAACCGCACGTTCCCGCAGTTTGGGGGCCCGGTGATTGTAGCCCGCAAGCTGGCCTACGACCCGCTGCAGGTCCAGTTCCGCAAGCGTGTCAAGGCGCTGCACGAGCGGCGCATCCGGCCGGTCTCGCGAAAGTTTCGGATCCCGCCCACGGTGGGGCGCCGCCTCTCGACGGTCTACGAGACGTTCCACGAGCTGCACGAGGGGTCGCTGAAGCAGGGGGTCCCAGAGATCCGCATCTCCTGCTATGACGGGCCGCTGGTCATTCCAGTGGAAGCCATCCCGCTGCCAGTGGAGGTGGCGGACTCAAAGGTCGAGTCGCCCGTGGAGGTGCCGGACCTCGGAGAGAATGTGGACACTCGCGATTGCTGGTACGGGGTGACACACGCAAAGCTGCAGTACGCCTCTATGTAAATAAAAAAAACAATAAAAATAATACATTTAAAAACTACACGTACACTGCATCAGACACCACCTTTGATATTTTCTTTGCGTAACCAGCACCCTTGTACTCGCGCAGCACGTTGCCGGATAGATAGATGCGGGTTGTCGGGAACGCCACAATGTCCTGGTTGAGGTCCTGGTATTTTGCGTTGACCAGTGCGAATCGCACATTGTCGCCGTACCGCTCGGTCTGTGTAAGGGCCACCTGCTCAAGACCGGGCAAGAAGGTCGCACAGGCGCTGCAGCCGTCCATCGTGTGTGTCACAACCACCACCTTGTGGGAGCTCAGCACCGCGGCCAGCTGTTCATGGGTCTCCAGCATCAGGAAGGGGCCGTTGGTTGCGATCTGGGGCGTATTGGTCAGCGTGGACGGGTCCTGTGTCGCGTAGTTGAGGCCCCCTTGAGAGGTCGAGTACTGGGGGTTCGAGTACGACGGGCCCGAGTACGTGTTGGGATGCTGGCCGCCGTCGGGCGTGGGGTACTTGTTGGTATTTGGTCGCGAAGGATGGTGTGTGGTGCTTGGTTGCGAAGTATACGGTACTGTGGTGCTTGGGTCGGCGGTCATGTCCAGCGCCCGGATGGAGACGCCCCCGTTGACGCGCCGGTCGCCGGCGGCCATGGGCGTCGTGCGGTCGTTGACGCCGTACTGGGTGCGCTCAGCCTCGGTCATCCGCACAATCTTGCCGCCCCGCAGCTCCTTGGGCAGGTACTTTTCAAACTCCGAGTAGTCGCCCGTGTCCTGGAAGAGCGTGTCGTTGGGCGCGTACGGTGCGGCACTCCCCCCCGTCATGTCATGGTGGACCTTTTGCTGTTGTACATTGTGGTACTGGTACTGCCCCTCCTGCGTGTGCTGTCGCTGGTTGTCCTGCATATCGTACATGGCGTTTCGGCGCTCGTCGTTGCGGACTGGCTCAGGCGCGTTGCGCACGTCGCCGATTTTCTTGTACATGTTGCCGTTGTTTGTGCATAGCCCCGGGCCTCTTAAACCAAATTTTGTCTTTGCCTAGTAAAACATCATCGGGTTGGCCTTTGGCTTCCGCATGGCCACTGCAACAACAATGATGATGAAAAACAGGAACAGGGTCACCCCGCCGCCTATAAAGAGCCACGTCTGCAGCCTCAGGGGGCCGTACTCCTTGTCCAGGGCGCTGACCTCCTCTGCCCCCGTTTCGGTGGCCCCAGCGGCTGGCACTGCACCCGCGGCTGCACCCGCGGCTGGCGCGGCTGCGCCTGCGACCGGTGCCACGGGCGCCTGCACGCAGGCGAACGGGCCCGTGGCCGAGTCAAACGTCAGCACGACCTGGGTGATGGGCGTGGCCTCTGCGTCCACGACCAGCTCCGCCGTCAGCGGGTCCAGCCCCAGCACGTCCGTGGTGCCGGTGATCCCAATCCCGGTGGCCGTGGCCGTGGCCGTGGTGGCCGTCGTGTTGTTTGCAACCACAACGCCCTTGAGGGTGAGCAGGATCCCCTGTGTTGTGGGAGTATCTATCTCTGGCACGATGCGGTTTTCGACACGCTTCATAAGGTAGGTCACCACGGGGGTTGCGGCAGTTGTGGCCAGCATGCGCACATTGAACTCACAGGCCGTTCCACTGGCAGTCGCCGGATCGCCCTCGAACACAAACTTGGACGCCACGAGGGTCGCCCCCGTCCGCGTGGTTGTCTCAAACATGGTCTTGTCAGCACTAAGATCCAGGGCCTGACCATTGATGGTGAGCGTAAAGGTCGCCAGGGTCGACGCCATGGTGTTTTGTTATCTTGGAAATAAAAATATTAAAAAATCGTATAAGTACCGTGTTTTTATTATTGTCAGTTCACAACTACAGAGAGGAGCAACAGACAACATGGTCGCAACTACCACTACCCCCGAGCCGTTCCACATCAAGACCTTCACGCGGGAGCGCCTCAGCGGCGTGGAGGCCATCGCCGCCTGCAAGTCGCACCACTACGTCTTTGTCCGCGGCGGGCGTGCAGACGGACCCGGTGCCGTGGACTGGGGTGTCCTCAGCGACGTGTTTACAATGCACTCGGGCATCTCGCAGCGCAAGTTTGTCCTCGTCGTTGTCAGCCCCGACATCGTCTCGTCCCACGCGTCACTGGCCCAGAGCGTGCACGCCGCCGATGCACCCCTCGCCCGCTTCCACGTGCTGCTGGTCGGGTACACGCAGGGTACCCTGGACGCGCTCTGCCGCGACGAGGGCGCGCACATCGAGGACCTGGTCTCGCTCTCGAGCGCCGAGGTTGTTTAGGTCTCGACATGATCTACCAGAGCACACTCTGCGTGGACCGGTTCCTAAACATGCCCATGTCGAGGTGGCCACTGGATACCGGGGCATCCAGAGAGTCGCTGAGGGTGGTCAGGATTAGGCGGGGCGTCTCACGCAGGCGGATGTCGGACGGTCGGACCCGGGCTACGAGGTGGGGGTTCGTGGGCTTGCTGGACGTGGTGCGATCGAATCGCCGGGAGGTGTACGGGGACCCGTACCTGTAGAGGTGCTCAAAGTTTGTCGTGGATCGGGTGGCGGTCGGGTACTGTGGTACAGGTGTGGACGGCGACTGGCGGCGCGACGGGCGAGTGCGGTTGCCTTGCTCGTCCGGCAAGTCATTGTAGTCCACTGTGTATATGGACGACTGCCGGCGCCGGGACTGGCGGGACTGGCGGCGGACGGCATCGTCGCTGCTACTATCCGTGTATTTGTCCTTGGACTGTTTCCCGGGCGTCAGGGCCTTCTTGAGTTTCTTGAATATACCCATGGCGGCTTTTTGTTTCTCACATATAATGCGCCAAATGTGTTTCACGGGTCGGATAACGTGTCGTGAACCAGCAAACCGAAAATCAAGCTTTGGATAATGGTCTGCAGAATAAATAAATAAAATATAAAATGGACAAGTGTACTTTGTGCTCGCCCGTAGGTTCTTGCACCATCGCGCGCGCGTGTGTTTCAGGGGCTGGCCCCGCCCCCCGTCCAATTGTCTCGTTCTGCCCGTCGCTTGCCGGCTCCGAGGTGTTCTTCTACTACCCGCGGAGCCCCGACCCTCCCGTTAGACGGGCGCCATTGAGAAAAGTCCTGTGCGCCGCGCGCCGCGGACCAGAGACTAGTCCAGTGGCAGCAGATCTCTATAGGTGTAGTAATGCATGTGGAACATTTTCCCCTCGTACCCGTGAATGTCCTTGACAATTGCGTTTGCGGCCCGGTAGAACGCAAACCTCGGCGACTCGGGGTCGGTGTCAGCCACCAGGGTGTTTGCTCTGAGTGGCTCAAAGGCCTTGAAGGTCTTGATGATGAACCGTTCAATCTTGCTGCGCCGCTCGGGTGACACCTGCATCACAAAGTCCACAAACTGTCGGTCTACGCTGAGTAAAAACATGCCCACCGGGGCGATGAGCACATGGTACTTGAGCCCGTCCGTGATCGTTGCCTGCAACGTGTACAGAAAGTCCGTGCCCGAGAACCACCCGTACGGCATCGCGGCCTTTGTGGTCTGCGGGTGCGTGTGGAAGACCAGCTTCTCATACCGGGGCATGTGGACCTCGCCCATGGTGCCATAGTTTGTCGGCTCCACCCAGACCTCGTGGGGCCCGTTGCCGTCTCCCGGCACGCCGGACGTCGTCACGATCCCCGCGGTCTCCTCGGTGAGCAGCAGCAGCTCGATGCACTGCACAAGGGTCTCTTGCCGGATGTAGAACGGCTTCCTGGTCCCCACGCGGTTCATCGGGCAGTTCGGGTCGCCACACAGGCCGTGCTTCACCTTGTCTAGATTCCCCATTTTTTTTTTATAGTTTCATGAATGCAGAATAAAAAAAAATGAAATGCGCTGCGCACACATACTCGTACAGACCACCACACACACAAAAAAAAACAAGAATCACCATGGGACTCGTCAAAGACTCGAGCAACATTTCCATAGGCACCGGGGCCGGGGGCGCCCGACAGGGGCGGGAGGCCATCGCCATAGGCACGGGCGCGGGCGCCGTGGAGCAGGGCGACTTTGCCCTCGCGCTGGGCACGCGCGCCGGCGCAGCGGGGCAGGGGACCTGCGCTATCGCCATAGGCCCCAAGACCTGTGTCGAGCAGCAGCACAGCCACAGCATCGTGCTCAACGCCAGCGGCCGCGACATCGCCTCCGTATGCGAGGGGGCACTGCACATTGCGCCCGTCCACGAGACCGAGTCGCCACATGCGCTGTACTACCGGCCGGCCACGGGCGAGATCGTGTCCTCCGGCAACGCGCTGCCGCTCGTCGACATCAAGAGCGCGACGGTGCTGGCCGGCGGCATGCTGGACATTGAGCTGACCGACAACCAGCACCATCTGCTGAACCTGTCGCCAGAACCGGGTGCCCGGGGGCCCGCGGGCACCTCGGGCGGCTACCACCTCGAGACGCGGCAGCTCTGGGAGCTCAGCGCGCAGTGCCCGTCGGCGTACAAGCTCCCGCCGCAGGCGCCAACCACCGCACCCATTCCTTCCTCACCCTTC